GAATGGAAATTTGTAATGGAATGGAAAATTTGAAATATTTCATAAATATGTATATGTATAAACATGTATTGTACATGTATAAAATATGTACAAAACTACTACATATTACTTTTTAAAGCAGCAGGTTGGCAAGAGGGTTCCCGGAACGTTGGGCAAGTTTATTGTTCTAGTAGTGGTGCTTAGTAATAGTTGGGTAATTTAATGGTACAATTTACCAGCAGTTCACAAAAAAGAAAATTACAGATGTCAGAAAATGTCAAAATAAAATAAAATAAATAAAAATCATAATTAAATGAAGTCATACCCAGTTTTCTTTTCTATTGTATAGACCTGACACACGTTTTAGTTAAACCAAGTTATTTTTTCCAATTCTCTGTGCTTTTAATGTTTACTGTACTGATTTATTTATTTATTTAAATACTATTTTTTGGGGGGCTATTTGCATGCAAAAAAATTTATAACTGCTTAGTTATAAAATATTTTGGATTTTTAAAATATTTAAAAAAAGAGTATTGATTATTTTTGCTATTATATCAAACCTTTTGTTACTTCTGTCTCTAACTTTTTTTTTCTTCTTTCTCTTTTCACATCTGTCTGCCGCTGACTGCATTTATGTTTTGTTTTTTCCCCCTTGACGATTGGACAGATTCTGATGATCTGTATTTGGGAATGTCTTATCTATTTTCTGGATTATTGGACATTCTGAAACATTTTTTTGCAGATTAAAAAAAAAAAAATAGTGTTATATTACGCAGTTATGATTATAAACAATAAGTTATTAATAATCTGTGTATAACTTTAATTATCTACATATTGTATTATATTAGTGTTGTATACAGTATATTATTTTATTTTGCTTTTCCTAAGTGACAGTATTAAGGAAACATTATTGAGTCAAACAGTGTTAATAGTATTCACAATGTTAGTGTTATATTTGTGTATTTCTAAAAATGTATATAAATATAATTGTCATTAAATTGACTGAAGCCAGCTTGCAGGGCTGGATTTAGTGGGCGTTAGGCTTGTGTCCGATGCCCTATACGCATAGGCGGTTTATTAATATTGAAGTGACAAACTCAGGAGTTACATTTTAAAAATGCATTCAAGTACCTTAACTATGAACAAAAATGTATCTTATTTGTGTATCACTCGGCTATAGATCCTCCAATCATCTCTGAATTGGTGCTGACACTGTCCTTCCTTCTGGAGGGGGGCTACTTCTGTTCCCCATGGTCCCTATGTGTGTTGTAAAGTAGTCACCGCTCCAAGCTCACTCCTGTGATAGACTGCGATCTCAATATAAATGAGAAAACTAAACATGGGATTGTAGTCCATCACAGGAGCGAGCTTGGAGCGGTGACTACTTTACAGCACACATAGGGACCATGGGGAACAGAAGTAGCCCCCCTCCAGAAGGAAGGACAGTGTCAGCACCAATTCAGAGATGATTGGAGGATCTACAGCCGAGTGAAACACAAATAAGATACATTTTCGTTCATAGTTATGGTACTTGAATGTAATTTTAAGATTTAAGTGTCACTTTAATCTATATACACTATAGTAGTCTAACAAGCATTAGCTGAAGCAAGCATTTTGCAAATGATTTAGTAAGCTTTCTTGAAATCCTTAAACTCCTTAAAGCATAATGTAAATGGAGGTTCTCATTCACCCAGATCACAGTATATGTGTAAAAAATAAATCAAAGCATCTGGACTTGCTGTATTATGCTTGAGGATGTTTCGCTGGTCATCCAACTTTTTAGAATGAATAGAGAAAGTTGGTCAGATGACCAGCGAAATGTCTTCAATAAAAAATACTTACAAATTATTGCTGTAGTCCATTTGCTTTGATTTTTTGTTTTTGTTTTACAATTTTGTTGCACGATTACAGCAAGTTTGCATTGCAAGTCTCCAGATCAATGTGCTTTGCACAAGTGCCGTACACTTGCAGAGCTCTTGCTAAGACCTGCAGGACTCTTGCTGTAGACTTGCCAAGCAAATTTGCTACAAATTCAAAAAGTGTCAACTAGAACTTGTGCTGCAAGTTTTCTGCAAGTCTACAACTTGCCAGGAATATGTGCAGCAAGTTAAAAAGAATTACAATTTAACCGTCACAAGTTTGTGGCAAGTTATCCGTGCTATATGGGGTGTTAAATGAAAACCTTAGTGCTGGTTGTTGATCAAAACACACCTCTAGCTACCAAAGGTCATGCCAAAGCTTGCTGAAGACCGCCAAAGCTTTAAAGCTGCAGCCACCACGCCTTCCCCAGGCTGTGCAAAATGATCAAATAAAATGTTTGGTTGAGTTAGGAAATAAAGGCAACCTACTTTTTTTCGGCAGAGACAACTGTGAATGAGGTGTTCGGGGTAGACGAAAATGTCTTTTTGGCATCAGTTCAACTTTGGGATAGCTCGTAAAAAAGCTTTGCAAATGCTTGCTGAAGCTGATGCTCCTTCGACTAGATATTACAAGCTACTGTTACACAATGCCCATGTGTCTAGAAACCGCAGCACTTCTGAAACTGGAGAACCTCATCCATTTTATTAGCAACACTTCCTCCTTTATCACTACTGATAATCAAATAAAGTAAATAGTTTTAGGGTTCCACGGATACCAAGCGCAGAGTTGCCCAGAAACATCCGATCTATCTTAAACATTTCCATATATTAAACAATAACATCGGTTAGTCCTATTTGCATTTAATATTCTGTTTTATCAAATAAAATAAAAATATATATATTATAAATAAACATTCTCTAAAAATGTAAAAGAATAAAAGTAATGTTTCTTATTTTAATGAATTATTGTTGATTTTTAGGCAATAAAAAGCCAAGGAATAAGAACCGTATCCGCAAACCGAAGATACAATCCTGAGCAAAGATCGGGGAAGAAAATTCTTTTATATGTTCACATGTATGCACTTTTTATGGCTATCGTCGGACAACCGAGAGCTGCGGAAGAGAACTTAACTCATAAAACAGCCTAAAAAAAGGGGGAACTTTTATGTCCGGCAGTATAAAACCGCATAGTATAAAAGATCTTTTTTTTGTTTTTTTTTTCTTTTCACTCGCAGCAATTGCAATTCTCTGTCACCAAGACGTTTTTAATATTACTAAGCCAGAGTGCAAACGTAACAATATTAGAAAATTTAATGTGAAAGCATAGTTTAACCTTTTACGTAATGTGAACAAGAACACAGTCTCGGGTTGGTTGTCGACTGGTTTGTCCCACTAGAGGGCAGTGTTGTGGATTTAGCGGAAGGGTCCGCCAAAGTGGGAGTGGTTAGTGTATGTTAGATTTTGAGGTTCTGCAAAGTGGTTTTATTGGGGAATATTGTTTCTCTAAATCCAGCCCTGCATGGCGGAGAGACCGTAGTGAATGTATCCATGAAGAGTACTTACAGGGTTATTCACAAAAGGATGACGATTTTGGAGCAGGCAGGAGAAGTGAACAATCTAGGACAACATAGCTGAACTGGAAAATGGGTTGAATTGGAGAATTTTTCCCTTCTCCTGCCTTCTCCAAACTCTTCACCCTTTCGTGAATAACCCTGTAAGACTAATTTTCTGTTTTTAAAAAAATGTAGCCTTTTAGTTTGTCAGAAGTAGGGGTATGGCTTTGTGATGTCATTTGAACGGAAACATTTTATGTGTATAAAGTTGCGGCATTTTTAGTTGTGATATAAAAATCAAGCAGTCAATGTATAATTGTATCAGACAGTTTGGAGGTTCCTTGGAAGGCCAAAAATTAAAATTAGGCAAAATTTACCGTAAACAAATGTGTATAGCCCAGAAACTACAGAATTCTTTAAAATACAGATTACACTGTTTTCAGTATTTGGCTTATTTCCAAAAGTAATATCATTTTTATTTTATATTAGCTGCAAGGGCATATGTTGCCTTAATTTGAAAATGATCAAGTATTAGATTCACATTTTATAAATTTTTAAGCTGTTGTGCAACCTCTGAAAACACCTGCAAGTTGTCTATTGATGGGGGGGGGGCATCACAACTGTCCTGACACTGATTTGATTTTCTGTTTTGGATGACAGCACAGAACACCAAATTGGTAAGGAGGAGAGGAGTGCTGACCAGTGGTGTATCCAGGGTATGACACATGTGTTACATTCCTTGGGTGCCACTTGAGGAAGGGGTGCCGCTCTTTTGGCCAGCAAAAGTCTAATGACCCACTGAGACAGCTGACTTTTTGTCTCTCCACACCTCTCTGCCATACACATCTCCCTGTCCGGCTCTTAGCAACCAGGGATGCTCTGGCCGACGTCCAACCCTGCTCCTGGCAACCAGGTACTATATGTGTATGAGCATCCCAGGTTGCTAAGAGCCAGGTGGGGAGATGTGTATGGCCCTTAGGCATGGCTATCTCCCCGGTAAGCTCTTAGCAAACTGGGATGCTCTGGCCGGCGCCCCACCCAGCTCCTGGCAACCAGTGATAACACTGGTTGCCAAGAGCTGGGCAGAAGGCCAGGGATGCCCCTGGTGCTGGCAGCTCTAAAAATGTAGGTTGACCTCTTTATCAAGTGAGGACTTGCTGCAGTTTGCACAGCCGACATTGCAGAACCACAATAGATTTCTGGCTTGTAGGGAATCCCCTTAAATAAATTTGACTTGTAGGCTGACTCCACTTATATGTTAAGGTTAAGGAATGATTATGTATAAACAGGGAGGAAAGTGGCAATAGGCTTGACTGTACTTTTTTTGATTTTATGATCCTTTATCAATGCCAATACATATCCATAAATGATTCATAGTAAATGTGAAACATAATGAAATTGTCAATAATAATACAAACAATCGTTATGTTCCTCGCATTAGGAACCCTGAATCTGTTAGCATGTTCCATAAAGCATTACACAGGGATTTTAGCCAATAGGGCAGTGTATGTAACATTTCTACGCTTTGAGGGAATATCTGTTCACAGTTTTTAGCAAATGTTTATGTGCATTTATATCCAAATGTTGTTAAATGTTTAGATTTTGGTATAGATTTCAACCACCTCTGTAGACACCTATCACTTTAAAGTGTACAGCGGAATAAAAATAAATGCTTACCCTGAATACCAGACAGTCAGGGCTGGATTTCCTACAAGGCCAACCAAGGTACGGCCTTTCGGCAGCAGGAGGTAGAGGGGCAGCAGGGATATGGAATTCTTATCTCCCGATGCCCAGGACATGCAGTCCCAGGCACCGGGCGGGTAGTTGTTTTCTACATTTAGCCCTGCTTTGGGCAAGCAGAGCTAAATGTACAGTGGGGAAGCTGCCGCTTGTTTTGTACAAGTGATCTCTGTGATGTCCCTGAGATCACTTGTATGCAGCCTGCATACAAGGGGGCGCATTGAGGAACCTGGCCTTGGGGCAACATAGAGAGTAAAGCTGGCCCCGCAGACAGCTTGAAATGCCTGAATGTTGCCTCCAATACTTTGTATAGCACCCCAGTGCCCATGAATCTCGGGGTAATGTTTAATGCCTACAGTGAGCTTTTGTAGATCTGCCTTCTCTCGGCTTATGCGCATTGCTATTAGCTAGTGTGGCAGGGCATAACATCAAATGGCCAATAGTAAGGAGTGTGAGGAGGGGGAGGACCAGAGCAATCGACCACAAAAGTAGGTTATCATTTGCATTACAATGCCCCAGGATTTGATGAATACAGTAACATGTTGAGATTGTAATTGGGGATAATAGCACTAGAACACAGCATTGTGGGTCAGTAAAATAGTCTGAAATAAAGGGATTGGCTATTGTATATAACGTTTTTAGACTTTCAGTGCTGGCTATGACCACCCCTGAGCACCTGTAGTCACACCCCCAAGCGAAAAATAAAATAAAAACTGTTTCAAAATAACTATATAGGCAAGAACGGTTCCATACAGTAATGTAACCATATAGGGCACTTCTGGAACATGTGGTTTAATGTTCCATATTTGTATATCTGTATATACATTTTTACACTTTGTGTTATTTCCGTTGGACTATTCTGCATTTGAATATGGAGAAATAAAGAATTATTTGTAATGAACAGTGTGTTGGGAGTTTAATATACAGTATATTCCTCAGTTCCCAGCGGTCACTTATAGTTTAAGTTTATTATTTCTTTCCAATGACCCTGAAGGACTTTGTGAGAACATTTACACATCTGGTAATAAGGGGTGTTGGGGGCACTTTTTACATCATTTACGCCTCACAGCAAATCTGGACCAGGAGCAACAATTAGAAAACTGAACATTTTAAAAACCTAAAGAGGACCTTGTATAAAAATTAATTTATCTTGGAGCCCCACTCTTGAAAAAAAGATAAGAAAATTTGCATAACTTATCCATCCAGCGAAACTGCAGCTACATTTGTTCTGTGCAAGTTAATCAGCTGTTGTGAGAATAGGGCAAAATGAGTGTTCTTAGTGTAATTTCAATTGTTGAATGTTCTTCAATAGGTTCATTCATAAAGAACATAGTCAATGGGAAAATACCTCATCATGGCCACTAGAGGGAGCCGAGTATAATTACCATTATTATTATGATGCTTGTATTCGCCCAAATGCTCCGATACCTTCCCCGATACCAGAACTTCCGGTCTAAAGAAAATTTCCTCTGACCAACAGTGCCGCAGGGGAACATGGAGCCAGCTTCCTTGGCAATCAGGAAGACGTGTGGCGAGTAATGACCCGATGCTGATTGGCCGGGAAGCTGCCTTCCTGGCCAATCAGCATGGAGCTGCAAGCACTATTTTGATCGCACCGGACCGCAGGCACAATGTGCCTTGCGATCCCGTACGGGCGAACGCATAACGGCCGGAGGGCATGGCTACGGTGCCATTCACTTCAATGGTGGCCCGCTCCTGCCCCGCAAAAGAGTGAGAATGCGATGGAGTGCTTTCCAGCCAGAATCGGACCAGAACGCACTGCATATGGTGTAACCATTGATGCTATAGGGACAGTGGCAGGAGGGACAGGGAACTGTGGCTGTGCTGGAGAATCGACTCTTCCTGAAGAAGTTATATTGGTGGGCACATTTGAAGTGAACTAAACATTCATTCATTGATGTAAAGGGAAAACACTGCACATAATTAGGCCTCATTCACACACAACGCAAGCAAAATTGTATATTGCGTATATACGCGTCTATGCGTCTATGCGTGCACTATATGCAATCCCAGAATGCATCACTCGTAATGGAATTTTAATGTAGGATACGCATGTACGCGCGTATATGCACGTAAACACGCGTATGAGAGATACGCTGCCCGGACACGTCTCTGTTCCATTCTGTTTTTGCGCATATATACGCTGCGCAAATATACGGCTCCATACGCGGCTGTGTGTATGGAGCCATTTATTTGCATATGTTGCATATGGTACAATACGTACGTACGTGCGTATATGCATGGCAGTGTGAATGAGGCCTTATGGACATCAATGTTTCGGTATAATCAGTTCAACTAATTATCCTGTGATTTTTACCTGAATTTTTTTAAGTTCGTTACAGAGTCTCTCTAAATACAGATGTTCTATTGGTGCACACAACATAATCTGATCCCCATTTATTCTTTGTAGAAAATAAAAGGTGCGGTTGCTTTGAGTAAATAGATACCAGAAATGTGAAGCCTAAAAACTATGTGCACCCAGAAGACGGCAAAAAAATTACAGAACCTAAAATTCTCAATAGACAATGCTTTAAATGACTTTACCACTCATCAGCTTAGTGTTAACCATAAATGAGGGACCTAGAAGTATTTCTCTCACTATGGCGTGAATAGTGATGCCCAATATGTGTTGCTCAATCATTGACATACATCATTGACATACAAGTTTGTGCCCTACACTTGTGTTTGCATTGTGTGTGTGCGTGTCGGGCGACGGGTGTTTTTACTTTTTTGAATTTTTATTTATTTAATTACAATTTGTTTTTCACTTATCTTTATTGCTATCACAAGGGCTGCATACAATATAACCCCAATGTGATAGCATTGGAGTCCAAATGTCTTGCCTGATGTTTGCTCCAGCCAAACTAGCACAGGCTTGTGCTTGATAAGCTGTTAGATCTGTTGACCC